TGAACCTAGGGTCTTTTTTTTAAAAAATGTAATTATTTTATTATTATTTTTCTGGGTTTTTTTGTTTGTTTGGTTTTTTGAGACAGGATCTTGCTATGTAATTCATGCTGACCTTGAACTTACTACATAACTCATGCTGGCTTCAAACTCACAGGGATCCTCTTGCCTCAGCCTCCCAGGTACTGGGATTATAGGTGTGTTCCACTATGCCTAGCACCAACCCTTTTAAAATATCTTTTATTTTGAGACAGGGACTCACAAAGTTGCTCAGGCTGGACTCAAACTTGAGATCTTTGTGCCTCAGCCTGTCAGAGTGCTGAGAGTACGTATTTATGCCACTGGGCCTGGTTCATTTTTTTTCAATTATTTCCTTAATGCTTGCCCTGGTGATTTAGTGAACATCTTATGACAATCTAATTTAGATTTATACCAACTTAATTTTAATAGTTTATTAAATTATTTGCCTGTGTGGCTTCATTATTTCCTTTTTCCTAATACTGACATTCAAAGCATATCTATCTGTTTTGCTTTTTTTAAAAAATTTTTTGTTTGTTTATTTTTTCTCCAGTTCCAGGAATCGAACTCACGACCTCGCGCTTACCAGGCAGGCTCTGTGCTGCTGAGCCAAATCCCCAGCCCTGTTTTGCTTTTATTGCTTTATGCATTTGTCTTTTATATCTGAAAAAAGTTAAAAACAAAAATTATATTCATTTTGTCTTATATGTTTACCTATGTAATTATCTTTACTGTTTCCTTTTATTTCTTCTTATGGATTCAGGCTGTTGTTTGGTGTCCTTTCATTTCAGCCTGAAGGAAATCCTTAAGTATTTTTTATATGACCGGTCTGCTAGTGATTAATTTTCTAGTTTTGTTTTTCTGGGAATGTCTTAATTTTGCCATTGTTTTTGAAAGTTTCTTGCATGTAGAGTCCTCTCAGGATTTTGAATGTCCTACCTGCTCACTGCCTTTTGGCCTCTGGTTTCTGATTAGAAGTCAGCTGTTCATCTTATTGAGGATCTCTTGAATGTGATGAGTTGATTTTTGTATCATTCTTGAGTCTAACTATTTCAGAAATTTGTTTGTAGCATGTGTATGTGTGTCTCTTTTGAGTGTATTCTTCTTAAACTTCATTGAGCCACTTGTATGTGTAGATTAATGTGTTTTCATCAAATTTGGGGAGTTTCAGCCATTGTATATTCAGGATCCAGTATGTCTTTCTCCCTTATTTTCTCTCCTCTTGAGACTCCCATTTGTCTGTGTGAAGAGGTCCCACAGCCTTTGATGATGTACACAGTTTTCTTCATTTTTATTTCTGTTCTTCTATTCTGTTCTATTGATCCATGTCTATTTTTGTGCTCGTACCATGCCATTTTTATTACTGTAGCTTTGTAGTTGAAATTTTGTGTTGAGGGTCTTAAGAAGATACATATTTGGGCAGGAGCAGGATGTAGAAGGGAAGTGTAATTTGGGATTGAGGACTCCTGTGAGACTGATACCTGCGTACCTATTCGGTGGAGAAAAGACCTGTAAAGAGGGAAGACAAGGGGCTAGGTGAGATAAGGAAGAACAAAAAAAAGGAAAGAATTACAGAATGTTAATGCAAGAGAAGATACGAATGACTGAGAAAGCAGAATATAGGGGAAACAAAAATAAGAAAATCGTAGCTATGGAAGCTAGAATTGAAGAAAGAGAATAGGGGAAAGAGAGGGTGGAAATAAACACCTAATCGAAGCAAAAAAAAAAAGGAAAGTACAAAAAGTCCAGTGGAGACTCCAGTCAAACGCTTCAATAAGGGAATGTGCGTGTAGTTCCCACGTGACCATTGTACTTTAGAGCCCAAGTGTCCACTCATTTCCCTTCCTGCCTTAGTTGCAGTCTCATTATAAGCAGCCATGCCACTCAGTGGGCGTTGGTGCCTGCTAGATTCAGCGGGCACTATTTGCTTATCTTCTCCCTACTTGGAGTTGGAATGGGAGAGGGGCTTTTTTGCCTGTGGTGAGTGCTGGAAAGGATGCCAGTGAGATGAGGAGAAGGGGCTGGTATACAGAGTCTGTGCAGGAGTCCAGCCTCTGCAGCGTGTTTGTTCCTCAGGCTAATTGGGGTGCTTTCTGTGCAGCTGCTACCCAGAGGAACGGGTAGGGGTGGTGCAGGCCAGCCATGGCAGTGTAGTTTCCCCTTTGCGACTATACAGATACGTGATTTTATCTACATGTATCTCTGTGATTAATTTTCAGAGTGTAAATCCCTCCCCCACCCTGGAGTACCTGTATTTTCAGTTAATCTTCTCTGAATATCTCTGATGCAGCTCCCCTCGTCAGCCCTGATGAATCTCCCTACCTCTGTAGTTTTTTAAAGATAAACTTATTTCACTAAAATAGTAGTTTAAGTGAACTTTATTAAAAACATGTCTTATACTTTTTTAAAAATTTTTTTTTATTTTAAAGAATAAAAGAAGGATAACATAATAATAGGGGGGACTTAGCAAATTACAGACAAAGTGGTAGGAAATTATCAATGGTTATCATTTTACATATTATTATCTACAAAATAGTTTCTCAGGAAAACAAA